CCCCCCCAGACTGTGCCCTCCATCCAGATTGTGCAGACCCTGCCTGCGGTCCAGCTGGTACACACGTTTTGAAGAGATGTACTAGGAGTACCTCTGTCATAGACACCCCCTTCCCCCACAACTAACTGTTCTCCTCAGCTGCGCTGGGGTCAGCCCCAAAGTCAAGGGGGCTGCTGCCTGGGCTTGCTAATAAAGACCCAGAATCTCTTCTTGGCTTAGTTTTTCTGGGGAGGGCATAGTCACGGCATAGCTCCTGTTTAAGGTGAGGAGCTCTTCATTCTTGCTTCCTGGCTCTGAGATGACTTGCTTTGAACTCAGAGGCTAATTGCTTCTCCGGGATGGGGATCAATCCCCGCATCCTTTACATTTTTAATTAAGGCTTTTATTGTGTTGGGAGTACAGTTGTGAAGGTCAGAGAGACAACTTTGTGGAAACCTACCATGTGGGTTTCCACTTGGCAAGTTGTCTAGCTCCCTGAGCTGTTTCTCTGGTCCTCTCCCATTCTTTGTGTGTGTGTGCGCGTGTCACTGTGGTCATAATAGGGAAGGTCAGGGATCAAATCCTGGATTTTCCATTTCTTTCCTATAAGTCATCCTCACCTGAATGGTAGGTGGAGGAATATTATTGATCCAAACGATATCCCAGGTGCCACCATATTGAGATAAAGGTCCCTGCATATGGGGACGCTCAGTGCTGTCCCAACCCCTTCCTGCAAAGACCCAGGTGCCAATGAGACTAGGTTCACAAGCAACTCCTCCTCTTCCTGATGCTCAGGTCGCTTAGCAACGAAGGACCAGCAAGAAGGGAGCTGTGCTAACCCTCCACACGCAGGCCGGGTAAGAAACATCTCGCTGCTTCCCACCCGCATCCTCTCTCCCACCAGCCTCCAGCAGGTCACAGCTCTTTCCTTGTCCTTGCAGTTCCCTTATTACTCCCAACCCCTGACTGATAGGTAGTCGGGGAAGCTTGACAACAGTTGCTAAGGCGCTGGCTCCGCCTCCAGCTGGGAGTGTGGACGTCATTTCCGGCATTGACCCCCTCCTGACCCCGCTCACTCTTACTGTCAAGGGATTCTAGCAACCCGGTGGAGGTGCTTGCAGGGTCCTGTTCCTGCTGTGCGGGGTGGGACCGTTGCAGGAGACGGGCTTCTAGAGTGTAGGGAGGGCACGAGTTTACAGATAGATTTCTGAATGCCTTCCCTGGAGTGGGGGACGATTCGGGGAGTCTTTGAGGAGCTCCACTGGATATGGGGCTGCCTGATCTGCCACTGTGGCAGTCCTCTTTGGCCGTGTTCCATCGTCCTTGGTGATCTGGGAAATGCTGCAGCCCATCTCTCCCAGAGCTCTTAGGACTCAGGTGCCCACCTAACACCGACCTACTTGTTTTCAGCAGGTGCACGACGCCAGCTCCCTCCTGAGGGGGCGGTGGCCTGGGGGCTACCATGCCCCCCAACCACCTGTCAGTGCGAGAGATGAGGGAAGATGAGAAGCCCCTGGTGCTGGAGCTGCTTAAGGTGAGAGACCGGCAGGGGCACCAGTGAGCATGCGCAGCTACTTAGGGACATTCAGTGGGTTCCACCAGTCCCGCCCACCTGCTTAAGCTCCCAGGGACCTCCACATGGGGATGTCTTCGCTTCAGTTGTTTTTAATTGGCCCCTTTTCTCTAGTGCCTTCTCCCTACTTGAACCTCAGCTGCCATTTAAAATAAAGAAAAAGCAGTTGGAAGCATATCGAAGCTGGATGTTCAGGGCTCCTGACCTCTAGTCGTGGGGTGCTCTCTCCCCCCAGACCCTCTAATGAAGAGCCCATGGCTTCACCTCCCCTATCCCGTTCAGTCTTCTCTGGTGCTTTACCTTAGCATGCCACCTGGACTTATTAGCCCCAGGCCCTAATTCATTCATCCAAACTTCATTCGCTCAGCCCTTCACATTCAGTGAGCCAGACTGAGACCACCCCATCAGCTGGCTTCTCTTCCAACCTGGGACCCCTTCCTCAGGAGTTCCAATCTGATGAATGAATGAGCCCCTACCCCCACCCACAGGCTGGTGTGAAAGACACGGAAAACCGTGTGGCCCTCCACGCCCTGACACGCCCGCCAGCCCTTCTTCTCCTGGCTGCAGCCAGCAGCGGATTGCGCTTCATCCTGGCCTCCTTCTCCCTGGCCCTCCTGCTGCCCGTGTTCCTGGCTGTGGCCGCTGTAAAGCTGGGCCTGAGAGCCCGATGGGGCTCTCTGCCTCCACCAGGCGGCATGGGGGGCCCCTGGGTTGCTGTCCAGGGCTCCGGTGATGTGTGTGGAGTCCTGGCTCTGGCCCCTGGTGCTAGCGTGGGGGAAGGAGCCCGAGTCACCCGCCTCTCTGTCTCTCCATGGCACCGTCGCAGGGGCGTGGGCAGGAGGCTGCTGGCTTTTGCTGAGGCCCGAGCCCGAGCATGGTCTGGGAGTATGGGGGAGCCTCGGGCCCGGCTGGTGGTCCCAGTAGCTGTGGCTGCCTGGGGGGTGGCAGGGTTATTGGAGGCTTGTGGCTACCAGGAAGAGGGAGGCTGGGGCTGTATGGGCTACATGCTGGTTAGGGAATTCAGCAAAGACCTGTGACTAGAGACATGCCCACTAGGGAGCTATGTGAGGAGCCAGCACCTAAGGGACACCTTCTGTGGACCAGGCACTCTACACCCGCCTCCCTCAGTGTCTACCCAGTCTGCTGGGCACCTGGTAAGGCACGCACCGAAGCTGATAGACTTTCATGCCCACAGTGGACCTACCAGATGCAATGGGGACTCTGAACTCAAGTAGAACAAATCTCTTCTTGGCCTTTTGGGACCTCTAGGTCCACTCCCTGCCCCCTAGTCTGAATGCATTGAAAAGCCTCTTCCGGTTCTGGGTCTATGTACAAAACCCCTGCTATGTGTTGTAGGACTGGAAGGTATATCTGGGGAGAGTGAGAGGCAGAGTTTGCCTCCAAGAGTTTGAGTCTGTGATAGGGTACCCCCAAATGGGACAGATCTTCTGGGAGTGGGTGGGGCCGGGAGCACAGCTTCTCCAAGCCCATCTGGTTTTTTACACTGTTTGTTAATAAAGCCTGAAATTTCTGTGTGCCTGTCTCTTCTTGATGCATTTTCCAGCTGCTCTCTCCAGACCCCCTCCTTCTGTCTGGCTCCTCCTCTCCAAAGTTGACATTAATTGCTACAGAAGGAGGGAGTGTGCACTGTGCTGGGAGAAGGAGAGGCCATGAGCGCACAGCGGCAGCCCAGTCCCTGCCAGGCCTTCTGAGTCATGCTCCCCATTACCACAGTTTTTCCCCTCACAGCCGCCTGGTTCTGCGTGTGTGTGTGTGTGTGTGTGTGTGTGTGTGTGTGTGTGTGTGTACGTACACCCTCTGGCCCGAAGCCTTGACCGCTTGGTCTCTCAACCCTCCATACCTTTGTTCTGGGAACTGGTAAATTCAGACACTCCTTTCTCACATTAGGGACTGGAAACTTCCCATCCAGATTTACCACAGTGAGTATCAAATAGTTCTCCAGTTTCTGTTCTTGCTCTGGGAAGTTCCTCCTAGTGTCTGGCTGAAGGCCTTCTTGCTACTGCAGGATTCCCTCAAATCTTTTCACTCACAGCTGCATTTTACTTCACTGGCTGGACTATAGGAGGAGGCAGGAGGGTGTGACCTCAGCCATGTCCCCCAGACACCCAGGCCTGCCCCTTCCCAGAGCTGCCATCCCCATAAGCATCTCTGAGCACGTGGCCCTCTGGAGCCTGGCTGGCTGCCTCCCGCCAGTGTGGGTGTTTGCACTTGAACACCTCCCTTCTGCCTTCCCACCGCCACCCCTCCTCCAGCCTCAGCTGTGGCCAGCCCCTCCCCCTCCTGTCCCCCGCTGCCTCCTTGCAGCCTCTCTCCCTCCTGGCAAAGCCCAGCCTGCTCCTAGCTGTCCAGGGCGCCTCAGCAGCTGCTTCCCTCCCTCCTTCCCTTCCTGGCTGCCTCTTCCTCCCCTCTCCTGCCCTCCTTCCCCTTTCACCCCATCCCCTGCCCTGAACTCTGCAAACATGAGGGTATTGGCCTGTCTCCTTGGTGAGTAATCCATTCCCTTGGTGGTGGTGGTGGTGGGGTACCTTAAGGGCCTAGACCCTCACCTTTGACCCTTTAGCTTCTTCAAATTAGGGACTCAGACTTTAGGGAGTCTGCTCAGTCCCTGGTGCTCTGAGATATCCTGACATCTGGAGTATCCCTTTAATCCCTCAGGGACCCAGCCTTCTGCAGCAGGCCCTGCCTAGCAACCTAAATGACCTGCCCTTTGTTGCTCTGGCATTCACATGGTGGGGTTATCACTCCCACCATTTATTCTGGTCCCCAGCCCTGTCTTTAAGGGTCAGGCATCTGGCCCCCACCCACCCCAGGGACCTGTAACTTATCACAGCCTCCACCCAAAGTCCATTCCAGCAATGGGGTTTCTGACTCAGAGGTATGAGGAATCCATGTGAATGGATGCTTCTCACTTAATTTAAGCTGGGAGCCTGCACTCTTTCTCTCCCCTTTAACTTACCTTTCACTCTGTCCCCTCCAACCCCCTTTGCAGCAATACTGGTGGGGATCCAGGCTATAGGTAAGAGCCCTGACTCTTCACTTCGCCACACCCAGCTTCAGGACTCCCCTCACTCTCCTGCTGGTTCTTGCTGCCCTGATTCCACTCTGATTTTCCACACAGCCCTCAGCATCTCTGAGACATCCCTCTCATTGCACCCAGGAGTCTGGGTTCAGGGTCCAGCCTCCAGGGTAGCTGGCTTTCTGATGGTACCTTGCAAGACAGCCCCTTGCCCTTGGTGTTACCCTAGCCCCCAGCCTACAGTACTCCTATCTGGAGTCACAGCTTTTCCTTCGTCCCTCAGAACGACTCCGCCTGGCTGATGGCCCTCATGGCTGTGCAGGACGCCTGGAGGTCTGGTACAGCGGGCGTTGGGGCACCGTGTGTGATGATGGATGGGACCTTCGGGACGCCGCAGTGGCCTGCCGCGTGTTGGGGTGTGGAGGGGCACTGGCTGCCCCTGGGGGTGCCTTCTTTGGGGAGGGTACTGGGCCAGTGTGGCTCAGTGAGCTGGCCTGCCGGGGAAATGAGGGGCAGCTGGGTATCTGTCCCCACCGGGGCTGGAAGGCCCATATCTGTTCTCATGAAGAAGATGCAGGCGTCGTTTGTGTAGGTAAGAATATTCAAACTGCTGTTGTGATAATGGCCCCAGGATACCCCAAGTCCGTAGTTCCTGTAGATCTGAGCTGTCTAGAAGCTAAGAGGTGCCCAATTCCCAATCCCCATAAGGCCAAGCACCTGCCCCCCAAGGACTCCCAGCTTACAGTCACTTATTTTTGAGCCCCCAGAAGATTCAGGCTTCCCAGGTATCAAGTGGCCTTTCTGCTCTTGCCATCGTGGTCCTCATAACTTTGGTCCTCTCCCATAGGTCAGCGTGCAGCTAACTCTAGAGAAGATTCAACATCCTTGTTGGAGGGGGCTCCATGGCTGCCACTGTCTGTGCAGCTGAGCCCCGGCTCAGAGGAGCCCCCCATTACTCATGGTGAGCACAAAGAGCTAGGCCTCCCATCCTGCAGCCCAGGCCCTCGCTGTGTGCAGAGGTCACCATGCAGATGTCTCCCCATGAGTAGTCTTCTTTATCACTCAGGAGTCCCCTATCACTTCAGATCCTCAGCAACGGATCCCTAGACAGTTGCCAAGCAGTCAGGAAGGGTGAGCAGCTCCGATCCTGACTTTCTGGTCACATGTTACTTTTCCAGCTCCCCACCAGGCAGCAAGTTTCCAGAATGGCCCCCGCAAGAAGAATCACCGGCCACCCAAGCAGGCCAAGTCCACCCGGGCCCCTGTACTAACAAATGGAGCTCCCCGCCAAGGTAAGTCTCCAAATCTAGGTTGCTATGAGACCCTAGACCCGGCAAAACTGAGGATCCCAGACCTGCTCTTAGGCTGTGGCCCTCCAAGGAGACCAGAGTTCAGTGTTCTCCCTTAGGATTCAGTCAGGGCTGGCCATCTCCTCTTCTTGATCTTTTCTCTATGAGACCCAGGGGTCCTGCCAATGGCAGTTCTCTTTTCTAAATAAGCTAGCCACCAGACAACCCTCAGTCCAGTGCTCTTCCTGGGCCTCTGTTTCCCCAGCTGACAAAACAAAAAGCTGCCCCTCCAAGCTGACGTTAGACTTCGCCTTTCTTCCCTGTGCATCTCCCCAGAGCGGCTGCGCCTGGTGTCAGGCCCTCATGGTTGTGCCGGCCGCCTGGAAGTCTGGCACGGTGGACGTTGGGGCACTGTGTGTGATGATGGATGGGATCTCCGAGATGCGGCAGTGGCCTGCCGCGAGCTGGGATGTGGGGGACCACTGGCTGCCCCTGGGGGTGCCAGATTTGGACCTGGCGAGGGACCCGTGTGGATGGACGATGTGGGGTGTGGAGGAGGGGAGCAGGCCCTCCGGGACTGTCCCCGAAGCCCCTGGGGCCGCAGCAACTGTGACCACACTGAGGACGCAGGGCTGGTCTGCACTGGTATGTTGGGGCCGCCGACCCCTCCCCTCTTCAGTTCTCAGATCCCAGATCCCTGCTTCCCCAGGAAGCAGGAAAAGGCCTGGCCTCGTGTCTGTCTCTCTACACATTCTCTGGAGAAATGGGAGAGGTGGGATTTAAGCCTGCTGAGCCTTGGGTTTCCTGAGGGAGCAATTAGGCTAGAAACTGAGACAGATCTGGGGCCCATGGAAGGGCAGTTGGGGCTCCCTCCACATTCACTCTCCTCCTCCCTGCCTTCCTTTCCTTTCCCTTTTCACACCCGCCCCCACTCTTGTTCCCTTTTGGCATAACTTAGTACCTCTGCACCTATCCTGATTCCTCATTGGTCTAAATACCTGCTCACCAATCCTGGACTCCCATGGTGTTAATACAATCCTTGCAAACACATTCTCTTTTACCTTCTTGGCATAACTAAGCAGCTACTCATCTACCCTAACTTCTTGTGACCCTGTCCTCTGTCGTCCCGTACCCAGGTCCTGCACCCAGGCTGCGCCTTGCTGATGGCCCCCACGGCTGTGCTGGCCGACTAGAGGTTTGGCATGGTGGCCGCTGGGGAACGGTGTGCGACGATGCTTGGGATCTTCGAGATGCTGCTGTGGCCTGCAGGGAGCTTGGCTGTGGGGGTGCACTGGCTGCCCCAGGTGGTGCCTTCTTTGGGGAGGGGGCTGGACCCATTGTCCTGGATGATCTCAGATGTCGGGGAAATGAGACAGCCTTGCGATTCTGCCCTGCGAGGCCCTGGGGCCAGCATGACTGTCACCATCGGGAGGATGCTGGGGCTGTGTGTGATGGTAAGGGCATGTGAGTGACATCGGTGAGGAGAGATGGGGTGGTGGGTGTGTGATCACCTGGAATGGATGGGAAGGTAGTGTTGTCCCAGCTCACTCTTCCCTTCCTGTGTATATATTATATACATATATATTTATACATGTATGTAGTGTATGTATATGTGTATGTATATTATATGTATATGTATATGTATATGTATATGTATATGTATATGTATATATATATATATATATATATATATATATATATATATATATATATACAGGGTTTCTGTGTAGCCTTGGCTGTGCTGGATTCACTTTGTAGCCCAGGCTAGCCTTGAACTCACAGAGATCCACCTGCCTCTGCTTCCAGAGTGCTAGGATTAAAGGTGTGCACCACTGCACCTGGCCTATCTTATATTCTTATGTGAAACCCTGGTCCAAGTTAACTAGGGGTAACTCTGTCTCCCTAAGGGGCATTGGATATTATCTGGTATTTGATGGCCACAATGCGGGGGGATACTTCCTTGCTCCTAGCAGAAGCCAATCTTGTCTGCTTAGGGGTGCCTCCCATTTTCTCTCTCATGTCCAAACTCCCTCCATTTCCTGCTCTCTCTACCGTCTTCCTCCTATCCACTTCTCAGTGTGGGCCAGGGATATGGAGCCTTGGGGATATGGAGCCTTGGGCTGCATCTGTGCACGAGACAGCCCTGGAGGTGGCGCTGACGTCTTCTTTTCTGGCCTAGGCATGCCTCTCGGTGATGTGCAGCCCACAGCCCCGGCAGTGGGCAGCAACATTTCAACACCCAGGCTTCTCTCGACCTCAGCGGGCCAGACCCCAGGCCCAGCAGGCAGCTGGCCTCTGCCTGCTTCTCCTACTGCTCCTCCAGAGCCTGGGCCCGAAGCTGGTGAGTCTGTCCCTGCCCTGGCTGTGAGACTGTCCTGTGAAACCTGCTTGCAAAAAGAAAGGTAGAAAAGAGGAGCCCTGGCCCCTACTCAGACCAGTGCTTGACTGAATGCTCCGATGACATCCTGAAATCCAGGGTTGTGTTTGCACAAGAGTCCCACCTTCTGAGGCTGTTCCAGAACTGCAGAGAAGGATGGGTATGGGAGTCCACCACCAAAAGCTGCTGGGTTCTTGTGTCCTGTGGTGTGACTGGCACAGTGTCCTCTGGCTTGCTCCAAATAACAGTTCAGTTGAAGAATTACTTTGATGAGGACATGATGAGGACTAGGGAGATGGCTCATTTGGTAAAGTGCTTGATTTGTAAGCATAAGCACCTGAGTTCAGATCCCCAGTGGCAACAAAACAAAACAATTGGGTGCAGCAGTGAACACCTCTAATTCCAGCCTTGGGAAGGGCAAGATAGGAGGATCCCTGGGGCTTGCCAGCCAGTTTAGCCAAATCAGTGAGCCCCAGGTCCAGTGAGAGACCCTGTCTCAAAGAAAAAGTCGGAGAATCTTGTCAACCTCTGGCTTCCATATGAATGCACACACTCCTCGTGGACACACTCAGATGTGGGATCAGAAAGACGGTTCAGTGGCTCCCAAGTCTGACGACCTGGGTTTGATCCCAAGGACTCCGGTTGTGGAAGGAGAGCACTAGCTGTCACAAATTTTTGTCTGACCTTTATGTACATGTGCTGGCATATGCATGCCCTTGCACATGGACACACTCACAAGTAAATCAATGAATGTAATATTAAAAAACTCTAAAATAAAAAATTCTTTGGTACAATGGGTGCGGTGGTGTGCTCCTGTAATCCCAGCCCTGGAGAGACGGAGGTAGGAGGATTATCAGATTGAGGCCAGCTTGAGCTGCACCGTGCATTCCAAAGTGCACGGCAAAGATCAGCTTCCCTGTCCACACGGTAAGGAGCACCTTTGAGTTACTGTGGATAATATGGCCATTTACAGCAAGGGTGTGCTAACATACACTTTCATTTTAATACTTATTTCTGTCTCTGTGTGTGTACGCACTGTGTCATGTTACACATATGGAGGTCAGATAACCCTTTTTCTGCCTTGTGGGGGTCCTACAGATCAGACTCTCAAGGTTGTCAGGTTGTGGCAGCAGGGGCCTTCACCCCTGAGCCACCTTGCCACCCTCCTTTAATGTACGTTGGAAATATCCCTCAGAGTGGAATTTCTATATGGTAATTCTATATTTAGCTTTCTGAGAAGCCGGCCAACTATGCTTGGCTGTGTGGCCAGTGAAGAAGAAACCTTGGCCAATACCTGCTGTCCGGATTGAAGGGTGAATGAGGAAGACCATAGATAATGAATAGATGGGCATTTGGGAATGATGGTGGAAGGCAGGTAGACGAGGATTCAGAATGCTATATGGGCTCTTTGACCCTGACTCTTGGTTTGTTTATTTTCTCTTCTATTCCAGGGTCCCCGAAGTTGCGCCTGGTGGCTGGACCCAGCAGGTGCTCTGGCCGGCTGGAGGTATGGCATGATGGACGATGGGGGACAGTTTGTGATGACAGCTGGGACATGAGAGACTCAGCTGTGGTCTGCCGAGAGCTGGGCTGTGGGGGACCTCGGCAACCAGACCCTGCAACCGGCCGCTTCGGCTGGGGTGCAGGCCCCATCTGGCTGGATGATGTAGGTTGTGTGGGGACCGAGGCTTCACTGTCAGAATGCCCTGCTGCTTCCTGGGGGAAACACAATTGTGCCCACAATGAAGATGTCGGGGTCACCTGCACTGGTAAGGACTCACTAGCTATCTGTTGGCTCTAGGAGGGCTTCCTGGAGGAAGGAATGGAGACTATGGGTGGCATTAACTTGACTGAGTGCTTACTAAGCCCCAGCCCTGTAGTGGGTATTTTTGCTTCATTCAAATTGCCTATGTCTAGCCAAAGTGAGGGCTACTTAAAAATCAAGCCTAGCAGTGCATGCTCCCCATTTAAAGGGGTCTGGCCTCCAACTCCAGTGCTGGACACTGAGCTCTAGAAGCTGGGTCCTCAGAGTGGAATGAACATAGTGTGAGTCTGGGAAGCTCATGACTCATGGAGAGAAGGAGGAACATAAGCTCTGCAGACCAGAGTGACAAGACATGAAAGAAAAGCCAGGGGCAATGTGCATGACTGTAATACCAGAACTTGGAAGGCTGAGGCAGGAGGATTCTTATAAGTTTAAGGCTAGCCAGGGCTATAGAAACCTTGTCATAAACACACACACACACACACACACACACACACACACACACACACACACAC